TTTACTAGAGCCCTTTTCGGCCTCACATCGTCGCCCTTCCTGCTGGGAGGCGTAATTCAACACCTGTAGGAGAGTTGCAGACAAAACTACCCGAACATTGTCAGCGAGATCGAAAGAAGTTTATACGTAGACGACCTTATCAGCGGCGGCCCTACAAGTGAAAAGGCAAAAGAAATCAAATCAGCTTCTCAGATTGTATTCGCCAAGGGCACCTTCGAGTTGCATAAATGGCATTCGAACGTGAAAGAGTTGGAATCAACCACTTATGAACAAGTCTCGATCGAGGAAGAAACGTACGCAAAAGGGCAGTCAAACGTCCCCAGAAGAAAAGGAACTACCCTGCTTGGCTTGCCATGGGACAAGGAAAACGATACTTTCGGCGTGAGTTTTCCACAAGAGAAAGCTGATCCCAGCAGGCGGGGAATTTTAAGCAAAGTGGCGAGGATCTATGACCCACTGGGATTGGCTTCTCCTATCTCATTGGGCGGAAAATTTCTCTACCGTGACGTGTGTGACTCCAAGTTGAACTGGGATGCAAGACTACCAAGCAAGTTGATGCAGAGTTGGATCCGATGGGAGGAGCGACTTCACGAGCAGCTCACAGTCCCGAGGTCTTGAGTAGCCTATCAAGAGGATATTCAGTCAATCGAGTTGCACGCCTTTGGTGATGCCAGTAGTAAGGGTGTAGCTGCGGCTGTGTATGCTGTAGTTGTTCAAGAGTCAGGTGCCAATCAGGGGCTCGTGGCAGCAAGAGCGAGACTTTCCAAAAAGGGACTGACGATCCCTCGGCTAGAGTTGGTGTCTGGACATATGGCAGTGAATCTTTTTGCAAACGTGGCCTCAGCTTTGGAGGGATTTCCCCTAATAGAAAAGTACTGTTGGCTCGATAGCACTGTCTCCCTGCACTGGATCGTATCTCCAGGCACATATAAGCAGTTTGTGAGTAACAGTATTGACAAAATACAAGCACATTCGGAAGTAACCTGGCGACACGTAGGGACTTCGGAGAACCCTGCTGACCTTGGAAGCCGTAGTGGAGATGTCACAAATAATCCCTCTTGGTACAATGGACCGAAGTGGTTGAAAAACAAAGCGTGCTGGCCTCCAGATATTCTGACTGAGGGATCAGATGAGTCAATGGCAGAAGTGAACGCGACGCGAGATGTTTTTGCTGTGGCGATAGCAACTACAGACGAGCTAGACACCCTCCTTGAGAAATCTACCTACTGGAGGACGAGGGGAATCTGTGCGTGGATAATGGGGTTCGTCCACAACGTTCGTTCAAGGAAGACAGGAAGACTCAAGGGACCGCTGACAACTGAAGAAACTAACAAGGTGATAATCTCTTGGGTGAAAAGAGCCCAGTCCCGAGCCGCAGCTGATAAACAATACCAAGAAGATCGGTTACAACTCAATCTACAACCAACCCAAGACGGAGTTTTGGAATGTCGAGGTAGAATCCAAGGGGATTTGCCGGTATGTTTGCCTGATAGTCACCCCTTCACACAGGTGCTCGTAACACAAGTTCATCTCGGAACGCTCCACGGGGGAGTCGTCAGTACCATGGCAAAGGTCCGAGAGCTGTACTGGGTTCCGCGCCTCAGAAGATTGACCAAACGAATCGTGAACAGTTGCCACGGCTGTCGGCGGTATCAAGCCCAAGCATTTTTATCCCCACCCCAAGGAGACCTCCAAAGGGATCGGACGGAAGGTCAAACACCCTTTTAAGTCGTCGGCGTCGACTACACGGGTCCGTTGAAGTACCGTAAGAATGCGAAGACAGAGGGAAAGGCGTATGTGTTGCTGTACGCCTGTAGCCTGACACGAGCTTTATTCTTGGATTTGCTTCCCAACTTGGAAACTAAAGAATTGCTCGCGAGTTTCAAGCACTTCATCGCCCGACGCAGGAGATCGCAAAAGGTGTATTCTGACAACGGAAGAACTTTCGTTGGTGCTGCCCGGTGGACTAAGCAAGTGAGGCAAAATTAAAGGTTCCAGAGTTTCCTCGCTTACCAAGGGATCAAGTGGCAGTTCGATTTGAGTCGTGTACCGTGGTGGGGAGGGCAATTCGAGAGAATGGTTGGACTCGTAAAAGGAGCTCTTTACAAGTGCATTGGGAACGGTCTACTGTCCTGGACTGAGCTTGAAGAGGTACTGCTAGACATAGAAGTGGCACTAAACAACAGACCACTGAGTTACGTGGATGACGATATTCAGCTACCTATCCTGACCCCGAGTTCCTTCCTGTATGGTCAACCGAACATGCTACCCGAGTTAGAACCTCATCGCGTTCAGGAACATGACTTGCGGAAGAGAGCCAAGTATTTGAGGAAGTGCAAGGATACACTATGGTCACGCTACACCAACTGTTTTCCAACTGTTTAAGTTCAATGACATTTGCCCTCTCGAGGCAAATGTGGGGAGGGTGTCATAAGTCGTGTGTTTACATAATCAAACCTTTTTAACGCGTTTAAAATTTCGTTGTTTACTCCACCGGAAAGGGATAGGCATCGAATCTGTCATCATTAGTAACTGTAACCAATCAAAGGAAACATTCACCGATTGTATATCCTTTGTTGTACAATACACCACGTGTGTTGTAAAAAAAACTCGGCACGTTGTGAGAGAAAAATATATCTGTTAAAAATTATATCGTGAGTGACTGATTTTAGCGCGAGTTCATCGGGAAAACCGCTGTGTTGTCAGGCAATTATCTTATTCCCAACAAGTTGTTACCAGGATGTATTCGAGAACACGGCTCTGGGGTGTTTCTGCAATTTCCAAAAAAAAAACATACTTGCGTTTAAGCGTCAAATGCTTCACTAAACATTGTGCGTACTTGTACGTACTATTTTGAAGGATTCGTGTTTTTTTTAAATGGTGTGTTCGAAAACACAATTGACTACAAGAATGATCGGAGAGCAACTTCATAGCCTCGTGCTGCATCAATTGCTCTTCTGTTTTTCGTTTTCTCATTGACTAGACTATTTAAAAACGTTCACATGTTTTGAGGACCCCATTCTCGGGCCCTTTTCTCAAGAAGGAGCCTCCCTAGAATTAAAGGGGCCTACTGGCCCCTGTTTGGCCAATTTCTAGAATAAACCCTCAATCTCCCGTCGATCGTTTTAATCAGTTATCTTTACTGTGTTTTTGCTCGNTCTCAGAAAGGTGAGTCATTTTTCCAAATTCTTCCCTTAAATTTACAAGTTTTGCATAAAATTTGCAAACATTATTATAAACGAAAAAGATTCCCAAACTGTCTGGTTCATTTTTGTTTATATAATTCAGATTTACCGAGCAGATAGAGGGTTTTTGTGTGAGCGTCAAGTCTTCAGAAAGGAATCCGAAAAGCAGGTAAATCTGGGTAAATATCCTCGGACAGTATTGCTTTATTTTTCATTTTAACCTTCATTTTTATCGTGTAAAATTAATCAGTGGCAGTTTAGGAACGCTTTAGAAAATGGTTTTGCATTATTTATATTATTTTGCGCCATCTTTCTTCGGGGTCAAATCTTTCGTACTCTTCATACGGTAATTCTAAGTTCTTTGAAAAGCTGCAGTCATAGAGGAGCACGAATTCTCCATCAGAAATGACTTGGGCCAATAAAGAGCCTGTTAAAAGCTCTCGGGTCCTCATAAACGACGTCATAGCAGCTAAACCGCCTGATTCCAGCAGTTATTCTCTGACTGAATGTGTTTGTTGTTATGTGTTTCGGCGACCGCTTCCACATTGCAAATCTTAAGGCTCGTATTTCCCGCGAAAAGGTGGCGGTCACAACCCATGCCCTCTCGGACGTGACCGCGTTCTTAAAGGCAGCCGCGTCCAGTATCGTAACAGTGGTGTGGTAATTCATTGTTCTAAATTGTTCGCTCGATTTCTGGAAACTTCGTTACAACAGACCAAGTAAAAGATTTATTTGTGGAGTTTCTTATTGATGCCATTGAAAGCGCTGAAGATGACGAAGAGTTAGTGGAGACCTTTGTGCCTCTCATACTCGCATTTAACCAACACTTTGTAGGTAAAGAGATTCTGTTTTGTAGAAACAATAACAACTCCAAGGGGGGAAGGGTAGAAAGAGGCATTGCCCCCTCCATCTTCATGCCTTACAAAGTAAAAGTCTTCGTTTTAAATTTGATTTAAGATGAGAGAGCGTCTAACTGTTGTTACAGACGGAGGGACATGTTCATTCGTTCATAATCAAGAATATGTTCAACTTTTGTCTTATCATTAGGATTTTGCCGACTATAAACGTCTTTTTTATTGTGTTTTTGGCAATCCCACCATGTTAAAAGACATTGAAAAGTAAATAATATGGTTTTATCAACTTAATTTATAAATACAAAATACCATGCCACCCTAAAGGGTACCTGAAGCTGACATTTTTAGCGTTAGCCATTCGTTAAAATGAGAGATGAAAGGCTGACGCTCCAAACGTCAGCTGTAGGAACTATGTTCATTGGCTAATTCAGCTTATTACAACTCTATCATTGGATAATGTAATTCAAGACTTTTTATTGGCTTAGCCATTATGGTATATGCGCCCATATACCATAATCTAAAAATATGGTAGGTGTACGCAAATTTTCCCTCAAGCTTGTTGGATATGAGATGATTATAGCCAAGTGGGCGCTACGCGCCTCTTTGGCTATCTATCTAAGCGCCTCGTTGGCATCTCATATCCAACGCGCGCTCGAGGAATAGTTGTTAATTATCAACTCAGTTGATAAAACCCAATTAACCTGTAATACTTCCACCGACGCGGCAGTACAGTTTCTTTAACTGAAACCTTTTCCCCTCCATCCATTTCGTCTTAGATAGTAGAGATGAGTTTCCTAACTGAGACGAATTACTTTTTTTCCTATAGATGAGAACGGGGTACAAATTACTACATCAAATCCTGTTGAATTCTAACTACAGTCAACACAAACATCAGGCCAGTGAACTCCTCACTTGTCTGACGAGAATCAGCAAGGAAGAAGAAAAAGAAGGCGAACAAGACAGACTTATTTCCCAAGAAATACTCAAACACTCGTCTAAATATTTCTAATTTTCAGTTGGGCGTCGGAAGTAGTCCGGGATAGCTTTGGTTTTGTTTTTCTTTGCTCTCTGGTTGGTCCAGACAACTCACGTCACACTCTCAACCAATCAAATGCAAAACTGGAGTTAGTGACGTTTTGACTTCTCGCATTTTCCTGCGCTTCCCTTTATTTCGAGTTTTGAATGGCTCCTTGATATAATTCCATTGCTTTGATTGGTCGATATGATCATTTGGTGTTGGCCTTGTAACAACCAAGCGAAGGGTCCTCTAAAAATGAATCTAAGCTTATTCGAGTGTTTTAAGTATTTTTGCTGCAATGACTTTAAATTATAACTCGGAGCCTATTAGCAGAGCACTCTGCAAGGAGATTCACTCCTTACACAAAAAGATGTTATATACTTAATGAAATTATTTTGAAGAGACGCCATCACTTTTAAAAAAGAAATTTAGCTTTGGGAATTGTAAGAAATCTGTTTGATTATAGTTCACACTTTTCCTAGAGAGCAGTCATCCTTTGTCACCTGTGAGGGGAGGGGAGGGGAGGTTCGAAGGATTTTGCTGGTTCACCATAACTTTTACGCGATCTCCTCTAAGGCTCTGTAGTATTATGATCCCCACTCATGGCAGTGAATTTTCTATGGCTCCCCTTCTGTACCCTGTTAGCCACGACTAATCCTCCCTCCCTTCCCCTTGAAAAGCATGTGATCCCCAAAATCCTTATAGCCCTCCCATGCCCGGCGAAAAATAATGACTGGATCCTCATTTTCACTCGTAGTTTTCTTTTGTATGAATCCCAATACCAGGTCGAGACTAACTCACTCTGCAGTCCCACTTGTGGTAGTTCGAGTTCAAAATGATGGCGAAATTGTTTAAGAGAAAATTTACAGTTAATAATGAGAAGGCAACATCCCATGTTCACAATCTCCGGACTATCCACCAGTCTCCTTCGACTAAATCTCGTCCGCAGAAGATCTAACACAACTCGCGCGAAGGGGAATTAGGTGACTTGCCTAAATACCTCTGCGATGGTGATTAATTTCGAGGTCGTTGTTTGGTTTCATTAAGACGTTTAGCGGAAGAAAAATTGTATTGCAAAACTGGGTTAGTTTGAAACTGTGTTGTTCGGCTTAGTTTCGATCTAAGCACATTTCTTAAGAATTCAAACATTTTTATTAATCGCCTGAGGAGGGGTCGAAAGATTTTGGACGAGATCACATGATTATGATGATTCTCATCTTCCAAACAGTGTGTCGGTGAAATAATTAAAGGGAAATGACTTATTGGCTTCTTCTGGGAGTAAGCGAGTTAAAATCTCATAGACAACACATTTTCGATTGTGCAATTGTAACACATCTACCGAGACATGATTTTGATTCATTGACCCACTTTTATCACATGATTATG